ACTCGTTGGACTACAATTGTGGATTCAGCCCGAACTGCAAGGTCGAGCCTTGGTCAGGTGCTCGACCTGGATCGTTATGACAATCTTGAATACAAAAGGTGGAGCCAAGTGGCGGATTGCGGTGATCACAAGATGAACACTCACGGTCACTCAGATTGAATGGTGAAAACAGGCGACCAGACTGAGAATCTGTAAACAAATACTGGAGGCTTGACAGATGGTACAAAGTAGGAACTGACAGAGAAGAGCTAGTTGCAAGGGCCAGGGAGGGGCCCCGATGGAGGCCAGGGCTAGTCAGTACAACGGGCACAGTGATGCATTTATGTAAACGACAGAATTCAAAACCACGGCAGAGCACTCACACTACTAGGTTCAACATGGGACGGGGGAGACAGTGGTAGAGTTATAGCAGAGGATTGACAGATGCTGGGAAGCAGGAATTACTGCAGGAAAGGGATAGACAGAGCCCAGAACCACAGCGGAGCACAGAGCAGGGGAGTAGGGAAATGGGGGGTAGCCCTGTCCAATGCTGGGAACCAGGCCCGGCGTCCCGTTTGAAACATGAAACAGATTTGAGAACGTATACAGAAAAACTTTGAGATACCCGGGCTTTTACCCGGCTTTGTCTGAGAATAGGATCATGAGCAATCACTACCCTATTCGATGAACAACCCCACGAGATAGACTAAATTCAGAAAAAGTCTGAAAAAATCTGCAAAAACTATGAGAAGTTTCCTTCTCAGCTGCACGAAGGTTGGCTAGAAAATTCTGAACTATTCAGAAAGTTCAAAATTACTACGACAATCTTCAGAGAAAAAGGGGCTACCCACACAAAGATCGCCACCACAAAGGTCCTACAAATGTTCAAAACCCTCGGAATCCCTAGCAAACCCTTCTACCAACACTGTCTTACTCCCTGCCGAGCTCTTGCATTCTGTTTGCCATATGTTGTTCTGCTTGCCGGTGATCCCAGACTGTAGCCCGCCAGAATGCACAGGGCAAAGAAGGAAAGAAAATGGGGAGGGTGGACATTGCATAGAAAGGATTAACAATCAGTGTCATCTACCCACACAACTTGGGGCAGGAAAGCATGGTACCTCGAGACACCTACATTTGCATATCTGACCACACAAACAACCACACTGTTCAGGGACGCTGGGCCCCATTTCCAACAGGTGCCGCTCCCCACCAATAGATGGAGCCTCCCCGACAGTGATAGTGGTGTCTGCTCCTATCAGCACCCCTACCACTGGTCCAGGTTGTTCAACCAAAAAAAAAAAAAAGTAAAAAAAAAATGGAAAACAAAGGATCCCCTTAGGTTTTTTTTTTTTTTTTTTTTTTTTTTTTTTTTTTTTTTATGGAGGTATTTGAGCTCATAATGGCAAGCCACGTGTCCTTTCCAGTGATCATCAAAACCGACATGCCAGCACTCCAAACACCCAATGAGCAGCATTGATTGCCCTCAACTGAGGGGATTAACTGCCCATCCCTTTAGTATCTTGGGATGTAGTTTCCAAACCCAAGCTCCTGGATTGACCGAAGTTCTGAAAAGGGGTTGACCCTTCACTTCATTTGCAGCTCCAAGATGGGGGAAGGATTAGATGGTGGGCTCGCGCTTTAACCTGCTTTTTTTTCGGTGGCTTGAACCAGAGTCTGGAGCAAGGAAGACCCCCTTGAGTGTTGGTTGAGATCCAGTTTTCATATAAATGATGATCAAGCCCTCAGTTGTGTTTCTTCGCAATAATCGTCGCCGTCATCGTTGTAGTTTTAAGTTTTAACGTAAAGAGCAGAGAGATGCAAATCCCACTTGCAATGGTCACCATTCCTTAAGAGCAGAGGGATGCAAATCAGCTCCCATGTCCACCGTCATCATTCCTTGAAAGCAGAGAGATGCAAACGACTCGGAGATGAGCTCTCACATTCTCTGAGATCCACATGCGGTGTTGGAGGATTTCAGAGAACGTGGGGTGGGTATTTTGGGGCAGAAAAAAAGGTTATAAATACCCCCCACGACAGAACCGGTTGTATTCATTTGGCCCCAAACGGGTCGAAAAGTGCGGCAGGCCCCAAAATGACTTTTCGCATCTTGTATTCGTTTGCCGCCAAACGGGTCGAAAAGTGCGGCAGGCCCCAAAACAAAATGACTTTGCGCGTCATTCTTGCACCCGCGCTGGGGCCGTAACGGGCCCGCTGTCTGTGCAGAAATGGCGGGGAAGTGTTTTACCAGCCCAATCAGAGTGCAAAAATGATGCCAAAAATCATTTTGGGACCTGCCACACTTTTTGCCCCTATTGGGGGCAAATGAAATACAAAGGTTTTGTCGCCGGGGGGATTTATAACTTTGCCCTATTTTGGGCCATTTCTCTATTTGTCTGTGTCTCATCCTTAAATGTGCAGGGGTCATTCCCAGCTTCTCTGTATTGTTGCAGTTTTAACGGATGTCCGGCGGCAAGGTCCCAAGGTCCCACTTACCCGAAGGGGCTCTTCATTTCGGACCCTAGATTAGGGGTATTCACCGTGGCACTGCCAGGCTTTTGGAGAATCGGCCGCCCGAAGGGGTGTTCAAAAAGCAGGAAGATCACCAGGATGGCTGTGCCCTGGCACACTGTCGGCAGGCTTGTGCTGCTAACGGTGCTTGTGGTGGCAATGGTAACGGCCTGCGTCACACTGCCGCTACACAGAATACTCACCAGTTTCATGGTCTGGCTGCAGAATGACGTCGGGCCTTGGGGCCCCTTGATCCTGGTCCTTGCCTATCTTCCGGCATCGGTTCTGGCAGTTCCCGGTTCAATCCTCACTCTAGGAGGAGGGTATCTCTTCGGGCTGCCTCTCGGCTTTGCAGCTGATTCAATGGGGTCAACTGTTGGTGCTGCAGTCGCCTTTCAAACAGGAAGGACGATCTGCCGGGCATACGTTGCTTCTAAACTCCAAGCCTATCCACGGTTCACAGCGATTGCGGCAGCGATTGACCGCTCGGGTTTCAAGATTGTGTTTCTGCTCCGCCTTGTGCCTATTCTCCCATTCAATGTCTTAAATTACCTCCTCTCGATTACGCCTTTGAATCTATGGACGTACACATTGGCCTCCTGGCTTGGCATGATGCCGTCGACATTAGTACTGGTTTACGTAGGGACGACGTTGAAGAGCATCGCGGACATCATTCACGGAGGAGGGGAGCCCCCAAGTCGATGGAAATGGGTCTTTGTGCTAGCCGGGCTTCTCTTCTCCGCTGCCGTCCTTTCTCTGGTTACCGCCATTGCAAGAAAGTCATTGGACAAGGTTCTAGAGGAGCAGAGCATGACTGTCTCAACGCCTGCTGGAGCAGAGGCTGCAGGTGCAGAATCTGCAGACGACACTGTCATCGTCCTTTCATCCCCCCCCAGTTCAGAGGCAGGTCACAGGGACCGTGACAGTAACAAAAGCTTGAAGGAGCCGCTCCTTGTCAGACTGCATGACGTCACTGACGTGTCTCCTCCAACTACTACTACTTCTAGCCGGAGATAGGATGGTTTGCCCTGAGCAGTAGGCTTGGAGTGCGTATTTGTACCTGCATTCCGCTCTATATAGCTAACATTAGGTGCAAAAGTGTTAAGTCATGGACATGGAGAGGGTATATCTTTAAATTTGGAAGGGGGTAGCCCCAAGCATTATTGTATTCATCCGATTTCGGCAGGATTCCAGCTCCCTTTTTTTTTTTTTTTTTTTTTTTTTTTTTTTTTTTGAAACTTCGTATACGGGAAACCTACTTAACGAGGTGATAAGAGCATTCCCGGTAAGTAGGTCCCGGCGTCGAAGGCTCCATCTATTGGTGGGGAGCTACACCTGTTGGAAATCGGGTCCAGCGTCCCTGTACAATGATGTGAATGCATCTGCTGGAAATTGGGTCCAGCGTCCCTGTACAATGATGTGAATGCATCTGCTGGAAATCGGGTCCAGCGTCCCTGTACAATGATGTGAATGTATCTGCTGGAAATCAGGTCCAGCGTCCCTATGCAGAGGTGTGTTGATATCTCTAACTGCCTATGCATGTCTTATCTATCAGACGGAAGTGTGTAACAGCTGGAAATAGGGTCCAGCGATGTAAGGATATGTCATTCTACCAAGACACGGAACCCTAACACAGATGTGATGTGTATGAGCTGGAAATCGGGACCAGCATCCCTATTGTGTGTTCGCACCTCAGCCTATATCTCAGAAAAGAGCCGAGGCATTGATTACTTCCCTGCGTAAGGGAAGGATTAACCTCCAGCCCATGGAGTATTATCCTAAAGAAACGCATGTTCATCAATCCCCCAACAAAGAAGTCAAGGCAAAGCACGAAACCCTAAACTACCCAGCTCCCCTTTGGGGCCATCATCAAAACATGTCTATCTTATATTTATCAATCAAAATATGTCATCAGAGGGGGAAATCCTAAACCTCCTTATCAACCATATCAGCCATATCTCCATCATCACGCCAAGCAGAGGCTGATCGCCCTTCTTGATTGAAATTGCGGGTCGGGCAATTTCAATCCCTTCGACTATCCTACCCCCTCCCTGAGCCGGACAGCAAGCAGCAATACCATATTTCCAGCTCCTGATGTGTTCATTAACAGTGGTACATTGTACATGTGTGTGACACTTTGCCATTTAGCCCCACCCGCTGGGTACAGAAATGGTATCTGTCCGTGTACTCTTCTTCAAGTATTTCTCTCGGATTCTTGCGTGTAAGGCTTGCGCAGGGCGGCAGGGGCCATGCTAATCTTGTCTGTATCATGATTCCAATTTCAGAGGATGTCCCCAAGGACTTCATTGCATTGCCAAGTAACTGTTTTTCTGCTTCCCACAGCTGCAGCGCTCCTTGGTGTTTGCGTCGAGAACTCGAGACCCTTGCAGACCCTTGCAGGCAATGCAGGCCCATACTGCACAGAGGGTTACTACTTTCCCATGTCCTTCAAGTTGGAATGGAACGATTTGCCTGCGTCCGGCGGCAGCAGCAGCATGCAAAGGTTTCCGTTGTGATGCAAGAGCAGCGCGGGACCCTTGAGGCCCATACTGCCAGCAGAGGGAACGTTTCCCTTGGCCCTTGAAGCATTTTGTTGCGTCCATCAACTTTTTTTTTTTTTTTTTTCCAAAGGTAGTATCTTGAAATGTCCCAAGTAGCGAAAACCTGAAATGTCGCGAACCCAGTGTCTCACAATGTCTCAGATATCGATCTCACAATGTCAAGGTACCTCTTCAGAGGAAGATGAAATCAAATCCCAAGAGTAGTCCCCAACCTACGGTCTCAATGTTGCTGTCTCTAATGTCATCAGAACTCGTAACCATCCTTCATGCCCGTCGTAGTCCAGTAGGAGAACCCAGGAGTAGACTTAGAAGGTATGAGGAGAGAGAGAGAGAGAGTGGCGGAGGGAACAGAGGGAGAGAAGGCAAGGCCTTCCTCCCCGGTACCTGATCCGGTAGCTATGGCGCGGCAGGAGGCTGCTGCGCTGGTTCCTTCTCGCTGCTGTACTCGCCTTCTCCTCGCTGCTCATGCTAATGCTGCTTGCGCTGCGCTAATCCTGCTAACGCTGCAATGCTGCGCTAATCCTGAAGACTAACATCCTATCTCTACCAAACCTACCGACTGAGGCTGGTACCCAGCTGATTTAGTGCTGGGTCGGCCTCAGTCCTACTGAGGTCCTTCGGGTCTGGACCGTTGATCAGGCCCAATGGTTCAGATCCGATTTCGGAATCTGAAAAGTGGGCGCCAAAACTGCACCGCCGGCTGGGCCTACCAATGTACCGGTACCTGGCCTAAACAGCTAGACGTTGGGTATGGTGGGGTCTAAACGAGGCCTACCGGATCCTAAACTGAACCGACGGTAGCTGGGACCGTCGAGACCTGGTACCTAGGCCTAAACTGTGCCTAGTGCTAGGGGTGCTGATAGGAGCAGGCACCGCTAGCCCTGTCGGGGGGCTCCATCTATTGGTGGGGAGCAGCACCGGCTGGAAAACGGGTCCAGAGTCCCTCAAACAAATTGAAATACAGATTAAAATCAGAGTTCATCGAGAAAGAGTTGTGGGAATGAGCTGATCCTATGGGACTAATGGCTATCCCTATTGTATCTCTTCACCCGATAGAGGGGCGTCAGATGGGTCGCTGAGAGCTGATACTAGGAACTGCCTCTCAATCTCTGTCAAAACAGCATTGATTACCCGAGTCCTCAGTCTCGCCCGTACCAGTCCAGACCAACTAAACAGTTTGAGGGGGGGCGGAAAGGATCAGGAAAGTCCTCACTGGGTCTCATGGGGATTGTTGTGTCAACCTTGGTCCACTCGTGGAAAACAAGCCGGTAGTCCCTTACTAAATCCCTCCTCTCTTGTCCTTCCCCGCAGTCATTTTGGCCGCCTTTCCATTCAACCTCCCCAATTCTCCCCCCCTTTTCCCCTCCGAGCCAGCTCAGGCAAAAATCCTTAATTTTTTGTTGGATGTCTTTTGGTGAAAGTAGTAGCTGTATCTGCGCTCTGACTTTTTCCCATTTTCCTGAGATTTCAGTTTGAATCTGTTGTTGTATGCTTTCTGTGAACTCTGGCCCTTCCAGACGTGCTTTTTCCATTTCATATGTGCAACGCCGTCGCCAGAGGGCCCAGAGCACCGCCCTGCGGCTCAGTTTGAACATATTATTGGTGAATTCATTGAGTTGGTCCTGGGGATACGCTTTACATAGTAGGGCTTTCAAGTCCCACGGCCACCGGATCTGGGTTTCTAATTGCTCCCAGATTCTATCCCACCATCTCCACAGCCACACTGCACCAGGGCACTGAAGGAAAATGTGTTCGATTGTTTCTGGCACTTTCCTGGAGGGGAAAGCATCAATGTAGAGCCTACACCAGGGGAGGGCTAGCCCTTTCTGTTCTAGGTTGGTTCTTGTGATCAGCCAATCTTGCGTTGGCAGGCAGCGGTGCTCAATCTGCCATTGCAGCGAGGCGAATTTAGCTGGTTTTTCCTTTATAGTCCTGAACCACTTCATATTTCTCAGTTTATTCTTGTTGATATTTAAGTGATCCATCCAACGTGCCTCTACCTGGTCCTTGAGATTCATTTTCGGCCTGAGAAGTCTGTAGGTCCGTATAATGATCTGGTGAGTTTCCTGCCCTTTCCGGCTGGTGTCGTCCATGCCCATTCTACGGGGTCTAGGGCGAGTTGGTGTATCGGAGTCCGGGGGCGAAAGGCAATCTGTTGCTCCTTTTCGTGGAGCACTCTGATTCTGAACAAGCCTTCTTTCTGACATAAAATTGTTTCTTGTGGAGATGTTCTTTGGAGTGTATTGTTTTGACCAATTTGGAAAAGGTTGATTCTAACCAGACCATCCGGTTCGCAGTACACAACCCTGCCTACCTGAGCGGGGCGATCCTCCAATGCCACCCAGTCAGATTCTTGAAGGACAGGTCCTTTCCTTAGAATCCTCCACCAGGCCAGGGGGATCTTGTCAACTACGGTTTCCAGGACGGTTTCCAGTCGATGACAGTAGCGTAGTTTCTTTCTTAGTTGGTCCGGGTCGATCCAGTTCTTTTGTTCCTCGTCCCATATATCGTGTATCCTTATTACACCCCGCCTGACCCAGCCCTGCCATGGGGAGTCCATGCAGTGGAGGGTCTGACCCTTGGAGTCTGTTATCCATCTATTTCCAAAGAGCGGTTGCCGTGCCACCTCTTCCCATCTTTCTGGTGGGATTTTATCCGGCAGGGGTAGGGTTCTCCATATTTTCATAAGGTCTGGGCAGAAAGGGTCGTTTCGCAGGTCGACCCTTGCTGCCTGTCTAGGTGAGTCCGAGGAAGGGTGGTCATGCCACGCTCCGCGTCTCGGGATGGGCCATTCCCTATTTTCTAGCCACATCAGCGGGTCACTGTCCTCTGCTGTTTGGGGTGCCAGGCGGGAAAACTATTCCAAGGCCAAGGCCTTCCATGGGGTGTCGGGGCAGAAAAGGAGGCGTTTAAGCCATTGTAGTGCCAGAGCCCTAGTTTGTAGCAGGGGATCTATTACGCCCAAACCTCCTTTCAGCTTGGGTTGGGTTATAAATTGCCAAGCCACCCTGCTGATGACATTGCTCTCCTCATGATTGCCTCTCTATAGGAAGGCAGCTAACTGACGTTGTAGGGGGCGCAGGGCATTCTTGTCCAGGGCCCAGATTGCTGATTTATACCACATCGAGGCCAAGATTACGTTATTTATTATTAGGGAGCGCCCTATCAGCGAGGTATGTTTGTTTTTCCATAGTTCCATCTTTTCCTGGGGGGGGGTAGAGATCCATTGATTATTTGTAGCCGGCCTACCTTCTGCTGACATCAGTACCCCCAGCACCCTAAGCGGGGCTTCCTTGGGCAGCCATTTGAGTTTGGGTTCCTCCGGGGGGCGTACACCTTGGTGGTGTATCCACCAGTCCTGGGTTTTGTTTCCCCAGTTGACCCTCATGTCTGCCAATCTACAGAAGCGGTCCATCATGTGTTGGACTTCTGCCATTGCTGCATAGGAGGCCTCGATCATTAGTGTTAGATCATCCGCGAACAAGGAGCAGACTGGAATTGCGTCCTGCGGTATTGAAGACACTTGTATTCTTTGGATATTC